TAACCAGTACTATACTGTGCACTTCGCCCTCTACATTTCTAATCGATGTAATTGTATTGTAGAGAAAGGAAGAATAAAAAAGTTAAATAAGTGTTCTAACCTGGTAATTATTAAAGGTATTAATTATATTTTCGTTCAAACTGTTGTTTATGTTTGACGATTAGTTCTTATCGTTCGCACGATTACTTTCTCAAATTCTTGTTATTAATAAATTAATTAAAAATGTTTAACTCATTGGAGACAGAGCATATGACGGAAGAGGAGAGAGATTAACAATAAAGACACAAACGTAAGAAAGATATTAAAATATTTCTTGCCAGCATTTTTCTTCAACAAAATAAAGAGTTGATCGAAACCATATTACGAGTACACAGAAAATATGTAAAGAATATTTTCTTAAGTAGTATCAATTTCTGTGAACGATACTGTTGTAAGTTATGCTGTCCATGGGCGAGATGAAAATCGATAGAAATCTTTTGCCTCGTAATACGATTTCACTGTGTAATAGGTTGATGTACATCGTTAAAACAATACTTCGTCAATAACTGAGAGTCTTCATATACAAAAGGAAAGTTGAATAGAACATTCATTCACCAAAAGGATTCTGTTCTAGATTTTGGTAAGGAATAAAAACGTTACTATCAAATTAGGCCATCTATTAATATACAAGACGAAATTATGTATCTATATGCATTGATATGTGAAAAAAAATAGTTTTTTTCAATATTGCCGGTTTTTTCATCATTGATATTATAATATTGTTGTTAAAGATTACATATTGGCGATTTATTATTAGGGGGTTATTACGGTTTATCGACATATACTATAAGTTATTTTACATCTCTGTCATAATTGTCATTCCCAATATTCTAGCCGAGGTTTGCAATTAACAAATTATTTTGTTTGTATTCGCGAGTAATATATTCTGAATAAAACCTTCGCTCCTGTATCTTTTGCAGCTATGACATAGTATTAGATTAGTATTCCGCCAATTCTGTAACTTGCGATCAATAAACGCGTGCGCAAAGAAAACCGTCGTAGAGCAACAAAGTGTAAGGCGCGTTTTAAATGGTATTTACGCTTGTTAAACGCATGCGCGTTGCGGCCGTTTGGCGAGTGTGCAGTGCACGTTTTCGCAGCGAATGTGATCGTGATGACTCGAACGCAACACAGGCCTTCCCTCCCTTGTCCGTCTAAGGCGGGGGCGAGGCAGGGCCCTTGGCCGCACGTGGCTGGCCAAGCCCAAGGGCGCACGTGGCGGGGCGGCGCCCGTGCGGCCGCGCACTAACCCTAGCGCCGCCGCGCGCCGGAAGCGTGTAATTAGAGCGAGGGCGGGGCGCCCACGCGAGCGGGGGCCGCGGGCGCTATCTCCCAAATTGGCCGCGTTCGGCGCCGGGCGCAGTCGGCGGCGGAGACAGATCGCCGCCCGCGACAACACACCACTCGGCCGCCGGCGCGCTCCAATGCGGGACACGCCACCGCAATTGGTGCTTGTTCAAATTGGTTCCCTGGTAGGATTTCTTCCGCATCCACTGCGTACACTGACTCTCATTCCGTCATACACATCACTATCATTATGTTGTTTTCAAATAGTTCACTGTCAACTTTCGACCATAGGAGACCACAGACCAGGATACGGAGAAACATATTATCATGTGCATAACATACTTAAGAATCAATGATCTATACATTAACCATTATGTATATTTTTGTTAGCTACGAGAAATCGAAGAATATTCACATTCAGTTACTATATCTCGGTGATTTATTTACCTCCATGAATTAATATACATCGTCTGAGAAACAGTCGGATTATGCCCATGACATTATATATTTTATTCTTCAGTGTATTTATTCATTAAAAATATTTATTATTATTATTATTACTATTATTATTATTACTATTATTATTAACCATGTATCCCAATGTTTGGCAAAATCTCCCACTCTACAAAAACTGGGGGGGGGGGCTCTTACAATTACCATACCTGAGAAGCCAGTTCTGGGGAGAGTTTTTAAAGCCCTTGTACTAACTAGTTTTTAAAGGAATATTTTAAGTAATTAAAATCTACAATGTTAAGTAAAAAAATTGTAAGTTTAAAGTACACTACATCATTTTCATCACTGATCACTGCAGTCAGTCCGAAAGTTCACTAAATATTTTTTCATCTTTTATTTACCCTTCACTTCGTGATTTCTTTCCACTCACTTCTATTCCTCGTCTTTCTTGACCATTGGTTACCAGCATGTGATATGAGTTGGTCGCTCCAACGGGTTTTTGACCTTTCCCATTTCATTCCTCGGGTCCCACACTGTTACTTCGTGAGTCTACATGTGTGCATCTACCCGCATGATGAGTCCTGCCCATCTCCATTTTATTCTTTTTGCTTCGATCTTGCTATTGATCTTGAGAGACATTTTGGCCAGGAAAAATCAATATTCTGAGATAAAAAGAGCATTTCCACATTTCAGCATTTAAAACAATGCTTTGTAACCAACTGTTTTGTAATTATTAATATGAATTACTTATCTTGTGCCAATTATTTATCAGAAAGGAATTAAGAAACTTTACAGCAACTTATTAATGTCCTATTTAAGTGTTGATTAAATCTTAATGTACTGATAGTATTAAAATGAAGCTGATTGACTGTTCTATTTATGTAATGTAAACATTTGATAAACACAAAAGTTTCACCGATCTAAATCTTTTGAATCAATTGTTACTCCATATTTGCTCCACATTTTGAACATTTTTGGTTCTTACATGTATACATATTTAGGTATGTATTAATCCTAGTCCTGGTGATAATGTTGTTGGTTCATTCTTCCCTCAACAAATTTTCTTAATCTCCATTTTCTGCACTTCAAAACGGGTCTCTCTACAAAAAATACATATTATTTTCTCCAGTGACGCCGTTTTCGAATGGTGCAATTCATGTGAATCGGTTCCCTTCGTTCTTGTCTGCATGTGATGTAGCTGAAGTGCTAACCCGTGCGTGGTCCGCAGGGTGCGCTTCCCCTGCACGGGCCGGCTGAGCGCGGAGATCGAGGTCCTGCTGCAACTCAACGTCAGCACCTACAACAAGCTGCACAACGAGACGTCGCTCAACTTCCGCCGCAACAAGATCTGCCTCAAAGGTGAGCACACACAGCAAGCGCACAAACAACGTAGCGCATTTCCATAACTGCTTTTTTTTCTTCTTTTTGCCCAGATATTATGCAAGCATTGTCTCAAATAGTTGGGGTTCAGATAGAAAAATGTAGGGCAATTGCCAGATTATATTCTTAGTCCGAAATATCACCGTGACACTCAACCGTAAATAAGTAATATTGAAAACAATATTGTAGTTTATCAAGGAATAATATTTTTAACAAAAAAGAAATAAAAACTTTATTAAAGTGTTTTTAAAAAATTTTAAGTTTTAATGTACAGTATAAATCACACTGGTAAGGCAGCGACGCTCTGTTTCTCAATATAATCGTTTGGCCCTTAAAAGCCTCCCTGCGTCAGCGATTGCGACTGAACCTGTGGAACGAATGCAGCGGCCTTTCCGTCGGGCGCCGCTGCAAAAGGGGCGCCGCCGAGCGCAAATATTCGCAGAGGCTCCATTTGTGTATCCGCGCGGAGCGGCGGGGCGCGGCGCGGCGCCGGGTCGGGGAAGAGCTGCCTTTGATAACGAGCGGTGGGTGGGGATAGCCCCTGGGATCCGCAGGGCCCGATTCCTGCAGCGCTCCCCATTTAATTAATAAAACTGCCGATCCGCTGCCTCCTCGCGACGCCCCAGCGGCGCCGGCGCCGTCTTATTCCGCCTCGCTGCGCGCCGCGCCGGCCCATCCACGCCTCGCGCCGCCCGACCCGGCCCGGGGCCGGCCGAGGCGGCACCTGCCCCGACGCACTGTGAGTCGAGCGCGGAGCAGCCGGGGCACAAACTTGCTACAACCCCGCGAGTCTTTCCAGTTCTTTATGAAGCAAAATATGACTGTTTTGCTCGTGTGTTACTTGAGAAATTGAGAGCAAGTGTTGATTTCATACCACAATCTTACACTTGTGGTAACAATTTTATCGATTTTTTATCACTGAAATCACGACGTTTATCATATAATCTTCACGTACATTTTCTGCATGGCTAAATCTTATCTAACTTCCAGGTAGATCCATTTCATAATAGTTATCTACCTTTTCATTATTATTCTTTTACCTATTCTATTGGAATTTAGTGACCTATTTTATTTACGAAATCGTCATATTCAGTAAATACATTTTTTTTGTCTCGGGGAGCTTGAGATAAATACCTGAGCAGTACTGGTATTACCTCTGGCAATGTCTGTACAAACAGTAAAACGAAAATCATCAAAGAATGAGAAGGAAACAGTAAATTACTTAATCGGTTTCAAGGAAATAAAATTACAAAATGCGCCCTTCAGGTTCTTAAATGCGAAAATAAAGGAAATGTGTGTATTTGTGTGATGTTTTGTATATACAATGATCAATGTATACAAATTTTAAATATCTGAAAGTGAAATGGAAGAAATAAATTTTTCAAAACTAAAAAGTCTGAATTCCAATGACTTGACGAAAAATTCAGTTTTCAATTTCTACTTTGTTAGCGTTCGACGATAATGTCCTACCTACAGGTTAAGATGAGGAAGTTCGCGGTAGGAGGAAGTATGAAAAATGATCCGTATCGTGGTTTTAACAAATCTACTTGATTTCGTTATTCGTAAAGAAAAATGCTTCGATAAATTTTCGTTTATGATTCTTGCCTACATTTGCAGACAGGATTGATTGACTGCCACATGTGCTTCACTTACTGACGAAGTTCCATCTCGCAATCGCAAAATTTGAGCATTAGTTTCATAACGGTATCTGTGTGTATATGGTCAACAGTTTTCCAAAAAGGTTTGGATTCTCTAAATGCCACTAAAGAGGAGCAGTGCTAGAGAACTGGAGGGTGTAAGATATTTTGCCGTTGCCCAAAGTCTTGAAGTACCCACCAGTTTTATGAGTAATATTTTCTCTACTGTCTCAGTCATTCAGACTGCAACATTCTAGGACATTGCAGAAGTTATAAATTCATCTCCCCCAGATGTGACCAGAACCCAAATCGGTGTGCCTGGGAAGTAAGCATACTGCACATCACCTACCTGCAGACCAATACGGAAGGACAAAGTGAATAGGTGGAGGCTGGTTGGTTGGTTGGTTGATTGATATGAGCCAAAACTCTCTTCGCATCTAGCGGCGCCTGTCAAAACACGTGTCTCACCCACTGTGGCCTGGGAGGCCCCCATGCGCTGTACGTATGCGCGCGTTTGTGCGTGCGTGCGCGCGTGTGCGTGTGTGCGTGTGTGTGTGTGTGTGGCCGGGAGGGGGCAGCAGCTTCCGAGCTTTCGGCGGCAGATCGGCCGGGCGAAGGCGCTTTGCGATCGGCAAACGGAGCCTGCTTCTATTCAGCTCCCATCGCAATAACCTCACGTGCTTCTGCTCGGAGTCGATCGCTTTGGGCGGGAGAGGCCTAACACTCTCCGTATATCCTAATGCAATAGAGAGGTTTTCTCTAGCGAGAACTCAAGCGTGCTTGCATTTGTATTAGAATTGCTTACGTAAGGAACATTTGCATCTCATCGAAGTGCGTCTCATCGAAGGCTTAAGCGTCTCATCGAAGACTCTAATCTGGAGGCGAAATTCTACGTAGTGCTTGGTAAGAAACGAAAGCACAGTAACGAAACTTCAATAAACCTACCTGCATGTAAAAAATATGTTATTAGATTGCCAGCTTAACGTGGCGTCGCCGACGCATTAAAGCGTATTATAAGTATTGTCATGAGTTGAAAACTTATAAATTTGATGCGTAACTTTGTTTCAATAAGTTCTTACAATATCTTCCATTGGACTTTTAAATGAATCGTAGTAGCTGATAAGTCCGTTCAAAAATTCCCAACATGAAAAAAATGACCTTGAATGTTACCTTCACACGGAATATGAACTGATAATATTGCAATTTGAAAATAGTAATCTCCGTAAAAAATACTTGCAGGTATGGATGACAAATGACAAATCCGCCTGCCTATGCCCTAACACATTTCTGGTATTATGACACGCAAATCTCTGTAAAAGCAATGGATTGAACAGATAGAAAATAAAGATGTTAAAATTATAAGTATGGATGATGTGAATAGTTAGAATTTAGTACAGCTACAGATTGTACGTATTTTTGCTAATATGCACATAAATGCTCATAAAATATCACATGCAAGCTGTTCGTCAGCGTTATTCCCTAATAATAAGATCATTGTCCATTAGTTCCGAAAATGCTGTGACAAACTCATACACATTTGATACATACATGTATGGCACATGATATATACATTTGATTAAGGTATGGCGCACTCTACCCGTACAGTGAACCATTTGAAAGCATATGTGTCTCATTGAGTATACACCAAACGTTTTATTTTTTCCTTAAGAACATAATCTCTTAACATCTCTCATGAACCCTTCCAAAATTTAATTTTTCAGAAGTATTATTCCCTCCGATTGCAACGTCTGTCTAGCGAGCCGGCGTACCGAAACCTCTACCACGAAACGTACAGGACTGTAAGGTTCTTGACTCCAGGCTAGACTGCCAGTAGCCTTCGTAGCCTCGACCTTCTGTTTTCGCCTCACGCAATTGTTTACCCTGCAACGAGCGGCGATGCGCGGCTGTTCAGAGTTCCCGTCGCCAGGGAGCGCGTTGTTCGCATCGCCCGGTGACATACCAGCTGCACATGAGCCGTCGCGTGGAACGCTACATACAAGCCGCTTTTCCCCATATCACTCACTGTCTCAATGTTTCAATTATCATTATATTATTCTCATCATTTTTTTGCCGAATTCACGTCTAATGATGTTAGGTGTCGGTTAAACACAAAATCTACTCCAGGATGTAATCTGCTTCCTTGAGGATCAGATCTAAAGAGTGTGGATGACTCAACAATACTTTGGCGAAAAATATGGGATGTTCTGAATAGCACAATGTCTTGTAATTTTCTCGATCTGGGATTCTCGACAATATTTTTCGTAAAATTTGTGAAACAAATAACAGAGTTTCAATTATTATGTTTATGCGTCCCACCTCAACTACAACCCATTACAACCTATGTTTTTGCGTCCCACATCAGGTTGACCTCGATTCCCAAACTTGTATTTAAGACGTCTCTCTGCCTCCTTGGTTACGTTCTGATTGGCACTGTAACATTTGTAGGTAGACATAATGTTTTTCAAATCCTGGTTATCATTATTTGATTTGTTTGCTGGTATTGTATGATTATACGCATTTTATTGGCCGAACAATATCGTATATTGTCCAACAGACGTCAGCATGCTTTGTTGAGTGTTCGTTGTATTCGGAACACATATTTGGAGCTTTGAGGATCATATATTTCTGTCATTTGAAGTACCGCTGGATGTTATCGTGCGTTTGCATGTATTCAGATTTCGCTAAGATTCGATCATCTGAAATAAAAATAAATGCTCTCTACTTATTACTGAGATATATGTTTACCACGCTGAAAAAATTGAGACCACTTTAACATAGCGCCATGCTTTCAATGTTTGGTCTTGTAAAGCTATAACAACGGCATCCTATTCTGGTTGTTTTTTTTACCTTTTTTAGTCATATAAATACTTTATGTTTGTTGAGATGACTTTTTAATTTTTTTGTTTCTGGATATCATCTAAGAAATCTATAATTTCTTTAACAAATTTTGTTTCACATTTCATAGAAAGTAGCAACAGCACTTAATTGTCTGTTTGCTATTTTAAGAAGAAGAAGACACCCCGCTCTGAATATTTTTCGTTTTCATTCCAATTGATAAAGAAAAACTAATTTTTATCTCTAAAAAAATTGATACCCATCTTTGAAGTGAACGTCATCTGTCGTAGTAACGTAACTATGTGAAGTATCACTTTGAGTTATGATAACAATCCAGTTCCACAAATTGGAAGATAACTTGGTGATCTCAGAAGATAATGTCTCGAGTGGTGAACTGACTACTCTTCCCGCAATCACGAGCAAACGTATCAGAGCAGATTACACAAAACGACGTCACACGCAAAGGCGAAAAATTAGTTGAGGAAGGCCCGTAGGGACAGACGTAAACGATGCAGACAAGAACGAAGTCAGGAGAGAGAATGGAGAAGAGCTATGTCAGGAGAGAGAATGGAGAAGTGTACTGGCCGTATTTTTAGGAGTGCCACTTTTTCCTGTAATGTTTTCAAACGCTGCATTACATGTCACTGGCCCGCCGTGAAATGCCTAGTAATGGTATTATTTGGGCTAATGTGAATTGAGGTATTCTAGTCTAAATAACGGTATGAGACAATTCATGATTCATAGGAAAATTCAGAGATATCTCTGCAATTTGATGTCTAAACTTAAACCACTTAGCATGTTGAAAGAGATACTCGCCCTCTTCCATAAAAGAAAATAGTCTCCATTTCGCTCATAATTGCAGATACTTTATACCTACTAGAATATTTCAATTGATATCTGATGTAGAAAATTGGTAGAAGTGGTTTGCATCCCACGCCCCCTACCACAAGATGAAACATTTCTTTCATATTGTATGTAGGATTCGAATACAAGATTTGTGATCTGCGTTTCCCATCCCAAGCTTCTTTTTTCTCTGTTTTGACGGTGAATTCCTGAGTTTCGTATTCTTTTCTCTACTTCCTACAAAACACCAAAGAGTCTGCGAGTCCATCTCGGAGCACAAGCTCTTTCTTAGCCGCTGCTGCGCGAGGCCTACCAAGGCGGGGCGGGCGAGGCGAGGCAAAGCGAGGAAGGACGGAGCGGGGCGGGGCGTGGTTAGGAGTAGCGAGGCGCGGCGTGGCGGAGCGAGGTGGAGTGAAGCGAGGCGGGGCGAGACGGGCGGGGCCACGGCAAGACGGGGCGGGGCGGGCAGAGCGGGGCGGGTGAGTGGGCCTTGGCGGGGAGGGGCGAGGCAGGCGGGGTGAGGCGGGTTACGACTGAGGTAAAGGCGGAGGGATCCAAGACGTCTTCCCGACGGAACGCACATGTTGTGAGCATTGAGGGTGGGGGGGTTTAGGAAGGTGGGCGAGGGAGGACGGCGAAGCGCGAGCAAAGGTGCCTTGTCACCATACCTCAACGAGAAAGGTGCGACTCTGCGCATCTTCAACTCTGGAGCTGGGAAATATTCGGCATCCACCTCTCCCCATATTTCACAACAATTTAAAAGGGAATGACATGCTCTGACTGACACATACATTCTTATATTAATAGAAATAAATAAGTGATGACTGAATTCTTATAAATACCAATTTATATGGATATTTGTTGTTCATGCAAACCATAATACTCTAACATTACAGTGATTCACCCTCCGAAATTATCGTCACGAAATCCGATTTATTCAACCAATCTCGGCATTGGCCGACGGCTTATCTGGCGTATGCGTACTAGGCTAATAGTAGAATGCCATAATTTGAATACCCTGCGGTTGCCAAACTCCTCACATCATGCAGCCACGAGTTGCCAGGTCGAAAACTCCTCCAACTGTAGCCACCCAGTAGAGCTGCGCCAGTTGAAACGGTTTTGCAATGAACCATTAAGAACGTTACCACCAGATTGTGAAACATTTTCCAGAAAAAAAGAATTAATTTCGATTATCTTAACTAGGCCAAACGGAACTGAGAAAACGTTTGCAATAATTTTTGCTTCATACTTACTAATAATAGTTAATACTAATTAATACTACTTAATAGTTTGCGCTTGTTTGTGTTAACAATTCGGCGAAATGTAAGTTGTCATATAATGTAAGTTGTATATAGAACGAACACACGTTTCCGTTAAAATTTATATTACACGCTAGAATATCGATTAAAAATAAATTAAATAAATAATACAGTTTTCATTCATTACATCCTAACAAATAATCTTTTCATTAATAATATCAAGTGACTATAAAGTCGACGTTGCGATGTAATTCATTTTCGATGTAAGTATCCTAATGGAAGAAATTTCATTTCAGAATAATGTAGTACATACCTTACAAGACTCGTGAGGTGAAGATGTTCTTCCCGAGTATTTGGTATGTTTCGCACATTTCACTCAAGCTCTACGGATGTAATTAGACAACAAGGATTATTAACTTTTTGAATTTCCACTACACATCTTAATCATATGTTCGGTAATTCTTACATCTCTGTTTTTTGTGATTTGTTTGTGACGATTTCATATATCGGAGTTTCTCTGCAATATCAAACTGACGTCTTTCAGTTTCCACTGGCATTTCAATCATGAGTCAAATATCATTTAAAAATACGTTATCAAAATAATAACAATAATAATAGTAATAATAATAATACAAATAATTTGATGCAGTACTGAATTGATTTATTGTATAAAAATACTGGATGAAAATTAATTACTTTCGTACCGAATTTACGGTAACAATGAGAACAAGAATATTAAATTTGAATAATAGTAATTAATGAGGGGTTGTGTATAACAAAGCAGCTGAAAAAGAGGATGGGGAAGAGAAATTTGATGACAGCGCTGACAAACGCAGCCCCAAGAAACGGAGATGAATGAGGAAGGATCAACAAGAGAGAAATAAATTTACGAAGGGTGGGGAGCGGGGAGCGAGAACAGAAAAGCTTTTCAGAGGAGTGCAAGCATGAGTGCCAAAAGAAGCGCAGTGCAAGATCGATGACCTCAGGGGCTGGAGGTCCAGTGCGACTGGCTCTGCACCCACTGGTACAGCTTGGTGCCGGGGCACTCGGTAGCCGTGGCCTGACGGTGGCCGATCTCCTTGTAGGCGGCTGTGATCTTGCCCTTCGACACGCCGCACTCGATCAGGTTGTTGAGGGCGTTCAGGGCGGCATTGTTGGGTAGCTTGCCTGTGACACGAAACCCGACATGTCACGCACATACACTGATTCATTCGCACAGCGAACAATGTAAAACAACCAATTGGTCAAACATTTATTTTACCCTACGGATAAACACTTTAAAGGTTACTAATATGTAGCATATTTCAAAATTAATAAATGTATAACTTTTATTCAATGTTACCATATTCTATGACAAAACTTGCTGATTTTGTTCCAATCTTCGACAAGTAAATATAACTACCAATGTCAACGTCACTTCAAAATATACTCAGAAATAGAAAAATAATCGCGTTGCAAATGCATGAAATGTTTAAGATGAAACAAGAAAACGGCACAATAGGAACACAAACGAGGTACTTAAAGAGAAGTGCATTGTCTCGGAAAGCGTCACTTTGCGCTGACAATCAATCAAATCGACGATGTGGCAGGCGCCATCATGCGCAAGCCTTTTGACACCGGTGCACTTCAGATTAGCTGATATAAAACCCATTAACGACTGTTCACGTGTTGATTTGTTGAAACCGATTCTGAAGGGGAAATGTCGGCGTAAGCTTTGAAAAGTGCAATTAGTGACGAAAAATAATTGAAGATAATGCGTACGAAATCACAACCAAACTAAGATAAGAAAATTATAATTGCAGTTTTTTTGTTTGGCACAATGTGTTTTTATTAAAATATTCGCATCACCACAATTTCTACTAATACTACAAAATGTGTGACAAGGGTAGTTTGTTCAAAAAGAGCAACAAGTCTGCAAAACTTGATAAGTTCATAAAAATGAGAGCGAACATTATAACACATCTCTGTCTGAAAGGTTCTAGGGTTCGCGTCCCGACGGTGATTTTCGACACTAGCTAAATAGAAACATCGAATTCAGCCTCAGTCTGGAGGAGAATTCTAGCAGTCGTCTGCTCTGATGGATAGTTTTCACATAAACGATGGACGTGGATTCTTCGATCAATGCCAAGGGAATACCGGAGCAGTACCCTATCACCAGTCGCACGTGATATTTCCTTCATCCTCCTTGCAATTTCCACGCGTATTACATGTACACGCTTACACTACACTACCACATATGTCGAAAGGCTGGTCAAGAGTTTAGAGACCAGTCGAGTGCTTCTCTCAGCTGAATTGATGACCCTTTAATGGAAGATACCTGAAAGAGGAAAACCCCGCCAGCCAACCAGTGGGTCGGCGCCGGATCTCACCATCCAGCGAGGAAAGCGACCACGTCTCATGGTTCAACATACACTACACTTACGAAACTAATGACCATAGCATTTGACGCGCCCGAAAAAAAGAAGTAATCAATCCATCAATGAACGAGCGGTGGACTCACTGGTGAAGGTGCCGATGATGCAGATGCCGATGCTCTGCGTGTTGTAGCCGGGGGCGTGCGCGCCCGTCAGCTCCCAGCCTCGGCCCTCGTACACGTTGCCGTCCTCGCCGATGATGAAGTTGTAGCCGATGTCCGCCCAGCCGTTGACGTCCATGTGCTGGTTCTGGTAGCTGCGCACGATGGACGCGCACGCGCTCTGCGTGGTGCAGGAGGAACTGGCGCCGTGGTGCACCACCACGTAGGGCGTGGGCTTCTTGGACAGCTGCGTGGTCGCCGTGGGATTGCGCGCGCCCCACCCGGACCGCGAGATGATGTTGGGGCACGCCGCTGCAAAGCATACCCCTTGCATTGTTTCACCCCGGAAGTCGCATCCACATACTTATTTAGTATGGGCTAAACTCGGGATAAAGAATAATGTTTACGTAATTTATTATGGAGCATCTTCAAGTATGAACTTAATAGTTTATAAGGTCTGTTAGCGGGCAAAAAATTATAAATGTCACATGCGTAATGGAAAACCTTGCCAATTTTATGATGTCTAAATATACAAGAAAGTAAACAGAAAATAGTTCAAATGTTACTTTATTGGTGGTATTACTAAATGGACAGTAAAAATAAAACAAACGTTTGCTGCAATATTAAATACAGTTTCGGGGTTAGTAAATTAGCATAAAATGAGATTTTTAAAAATTTTATCTTCTTAGTAAAACAAATATGAATTGTGTATTTTGAAGATATTTACAATTCTAGGTTCAATAGTTTCATTTCTGAGATTGATACGTCAATATTTTAAATCTGAATTTATATTTTGAAGATATCTACAATTCTAGGTTCAATAGTTTCATTTCTGAGATTGATATGTCAATATTTTAAATCTGAATCTATACCATAATGTATATTTTCTTTTAAATTTCAGATTTAAAATACATTTATGGGTTTATCCTTTTAACAATTATTATCATCTAATGATGCAGGTGGGCTAATGCTCCTTAATCTAACTGACCTCAATTTTCCGATGCTCAACAATGAATTGCCGTACCAAAGATTCTTAGAAGGACAAGTGTCGAGTTGATAACTACCCTGAAATTTTGTGGACATCGAATTCGTAAAAATACTACATGAAGTTGTGAGAACTTTCCATACTCATTTCTCGTATTTATAATTACCTACCTATTACTCAAATAAAGGCACCGAAAATTTCATGTTAAATATGGGTGCGCGGAGAAAAATAAATGTCACACGTCTTTTTCGTTTAATGAATGTTAAATATGCTAAAAATACAATTTATATGCCGGTGTCTTGTCATTGATTGCTGATACGTTAACCCTTGTATGCTGGAAACTGACATTCGAGTTGCTGATTAATCATATTATTCAATAATCTTATTACGGGTGATTTATTTAAGAACATTATGTTTCGGTCACTTCGTGAGGGTTCATTAGAAATTTCGATAATGAAAGATTATTTTGTGATTAATGATCAATCCAAGTTCGTAATGGAGGTAATCCACCAATCATTATAATTGAACGTATCTCATTAAAGTTAGCCGATATATTGCATTATCTCATGCGACAGTTTGAGTGATATTCTCACAGAGGCAGTTCTGGGGAAATTCATTAACGTCGAAATTCACAAATTATCCGATGCTAAATTGTTGGGTATTAAAAATCCATTGTCATCTCGATTAATTAAAGAGATATTGATCTTAACTATTACGAGAAAGTACGTCAGTGTCAGATGTCGTTTGGTCACAGTCATTTGAAAGAAGACGCGTCATTCGGAACGAGAGAGTTGGAGATCGGCGCAACAATGTTTGAATACTTCAAACGAAAGACAAAGCGTCGACCGCCATTTTCTCAAAAATAACGTCTTGTAAACTCACCACACTATCTAACTGAGTGTACAACAAATCATAGTTTTGAATTAGAGGATAAAAAGTTAATTTAATGCCATCCTAATATGTACACTATTGACTTCGACATCCTACGATAACTCTGTAAAATAAATTACAGTACAGAACACAACAGTCTTGCAGGACTACATCACCCCTACTTGGAACCTACAGTATCTTGCACCTATCCCCGTAATCTCCCTAGATCCTCCTATTCGTACCTCTAAACATGATTTCCTGCGCTTACGTGCGTTACTCGGGCGGCAGAGCACGCTTTCCCGTGCGACGTTTTGTTCGCTTTGCTGCAGCTACTGGCGTAGTCGCGGCGCGTTTGCTCTTTTTTGCGTCGCGCACCTCGTTGCGAGAGCAGCGGGCTCGGCCGGAGGCAATCGCGGCGCGGCGCGGCGCAATCAAACTGGCAAGAAGCGAGCGGGCGAGAGCGCGTGCGCGGGGCGTGGCGGGGGATATGGAAGAACGCCCCTCAAGGCAACAGCAAAGAACACGGTTGACCTCACGGGCGAGTGAGAAATTGAATCCACTTTCAACCAATCGATTATATTTAGTAATCTAAATGAAGCTTTAGATCCGTCCTAAGAATGACCCGCTAAGGGAAGATGAGAGATTTGTACAATTTATAAAACACCATCTTCGAAACAAGAACTTCGCAGAATATGATGCATGAAAAGAGCAGGAGCTCGTGCAAACCGCAATCCACGATACGAACGTGCATTAATTAACAATGATGCCACTTAAAACCCGTTTGTCATGTTACTTATGAACATATGTTATGTTTCGTACTCTGTAATCTATAAAATGAGACGGTTCTGAACAGTTTCACATTTTTGGTGGGGGAATCAAACTTCTTAGCCTAGCGTGTAAAAAATGTACGTTGGATTCCATTATGGGCGTTTTCACATTTACCGACACGCCAACGCTGGCGATGAACGCCTAATCTCATGTAAATAAATGAGAATGGTTTCACATTCACCGATATTTTGGTACCGTGTCGTTAAAGGAACTTTTCGATGAGTACTCACTTCACTTGTATCGTCAGCGATTGGTCAACTTTTTTTTAATAACATGTGTGATGTGTAATTTTGTGCTTAAAACCAACTAAAATGGCCAGTATAATGGCCTACTAAAATGGACGGTATAGATATAAGAATAGAACAACTAGAATCTAAGCTCTAAGTATGTGGGATAAAACCAATAAATACAACAAAAACAAAATATTTTGTGACAATAGTTGGTAGAAAGTTTTTGAATACTTCCAGGATGGATATAAATAATTATTTCAACTAATTTCGTTGCTCGCGCGTCAAGTAAAAAAACTAGAGCAAATACAATTTATTAACTCCTGCTATGTCTCTCTCGACAGTAACAACTGCATGTGCCGTGTGATTGTATGTGCAAATATCCTATCGATAATGTGTCGGTATCGATACTGTGCTGACATTATACCGGTGTCGGCATCGGTAAATGTGAAAACGCCCTATCAATATATTTTTAGTAAGCAACTGAACGAGTAGGAATGTAAATTTAAAATGCAATGTTTTACAAGTACAGAATGTTGGAGTGGATCCAACTTCGCGAGTGTCGATGTGCGTGAGAGCGGGGCGGGGTTGGGTTGGGTACCTGAGGCGGCGGCGGCGAGGGCGCAGAGCGCGGCGAGCAGGAGCAGCGACCGGGCCATGGTTGCGGGCGGCGACTGGCGCGGACCCCCGCGCCCGCGCCTTATAGCGGCGCGGCGCCCGAGCGCAGATGAGGCGGCGGAAGGGAGACGCTGACGTCGCGACGCCGCTCCACGCGGGATTCCCGCGGGTGCTCGCCGGCCCGAGCGATTATTACGAAGACCGCTTCGCGCGAGATTAACAGGATTACGCGCTTTGCACAACGACGCACGCATAAACACACACGCGCGCGCAATGTTGGCCCAGTTAGCCTTTCGAAAGAAGTCTAAATACTTCGATCTTTGTTTTATCGAGAACGATAAAATGCGGTCACCAAAAAAACTGTTGGGAAACCCATAAAAATGTGCAATTTGAGGAATTTGAGGAATCTTCAGTTCATCTAACAGGCTGTTAGTTCTGTTGTTAACAACGAAAAGAGTTAGAAAATAGCGAAACGGTGATAGGTTGCTGAGGGTATCACAGCTACATTCTTGTGTCGCCGTTTTACAACCATTCGAGTTTGAGTAGAAACATGTTCTCAGTAAAAAAAGTTCAACCGTCTTGTATTATTAGTATTGTAATGGTATTTCATGTCTGGCATGTGTCTATGTCAACTTTCAAATTCTATGTATACTCTTTTTTTATTTCACCCGGGTAGGATTCTGAGAAAAGTAAAATAATCAAACGTAAGCAGATGCTCTCCTAAAGTATAGAAGTGAGTTAATGAACAGGGACGTGTGAAATATTTTCATTTCATGTGACTCACAGTCTTAAAACACATATTTAACTTGATAATTGTTATTTCTTTGACATAACGACAATGAATTATATCAATATTTGTTTATTTAAAGTTAGTAAGAATAAATCAAAACATGTAATCAATTTAAACTCAACATTATCTTGAAATGAGATCCAAATGAAGTGCCGAGAAGTGAATGGGGACTTTGGTCGAGCTCGGAGATAAGTTGTTTGTTTGAGAGGTGTGACGTACTGTACAATAGTAATTTGTTTAATTCCATATGCTCTTGAAAAGAAATCATTGCTTTGTTTATTCGAGGTGCAAAATATGAAGTCTTAGAATTCGCAAGCAAAAATCGAACTAAATGTACTATCGATTCATTTTATATTTACAATGAAATAAGGTTCACATTAAATAAAACTTAATGATAAAACAATACGGTTATTTATGTATTCCTAGTTTTTTTGTGTAATCACAATAATCATAATAATCCCTTCAAGGTTTATATTATCTTATAAAATCAGATGTGTCAGTATTTCAAATTCTAGGAACAAAACAATTTCTCAAACAATTACAATTGCTTTGCCAATCGCGCTTACGAGAATAAATACCATTATATGTACTATTTCAACTAAAAAGTTACGTGTATTTTTAATGCATTATTTTCAATAGCACCGAATGCTTTCACTTCAATTGTAGTTTATCTCACAAGAATTTCCATTTCTGCTTCGTGCGTCACAACTACATAAAATCTAAGTTCTAAATATGAAATGGTAATTACTACAACATAAATAATTTATAGAGAGGATGTATTAAGGAATAACAATAGAGAAAGACATTAATCCACAATTATTAGTGCAGTAAAACCTACTAACAAAAAGTTTTAATTTTTAATAATAAAACACAAAAAAGCATTAATAAAGTAAGCACGGATCCTAAAGAACGTTTTAAACGGTAAACAAAAAATACTTTTCAGATATCTTATACGTGCGAAAACGACAGAATTTAGTGTAAGATAGAATATTATAACTGTAATTTGAAAGGTTTTTTAAACAATGAAATTCATTGCTTTATTATTTGTGTGAGAAAGACAAAATACCTACAAAAATGTCTACAAACGTGTTTGACGTTTCATTTGTTCGAATTATAGGTCTCTTCATTCAATCCCCAAATTCACAGAAGCTTACTGCGAGGAGCGCTTTGTATACTTCGCAAGCAACCTCTATGATGGTATTTGGCAGATAACCTAGCACTATCCAACAAAGAAATCAAGTGAAGCCCTGCCAGTTGAAATTATGAGGAAGACGAGTGTCCAAACCAGTTATCTTCTAACTGAACTAAAAAAAACGACCTTATCTTCGAGGTCAAGAACTATATCAACCATAAATTATCTTTGCATAATGCGACTAAAGTGTAAAAATAATAGAATCTTTGAATACGAGAAGCCTAATTATATTTTTAATGAAGACAAAAAATGTCAGGAATACATTGAATCATTTTAATATTTCTATCAACAAATCAATGTGCATCTAGTGGTAATACAACATAGCATAGAATTTCTCGTACAATGTGTATTGCTTATGTGAAATCATAATAATATACAATTGGAAATTACTTACCTATAAAACTTCAACTATCAGAAAGATATTGTGTTATATTGAAAAACATTTTTTCACATTGTTTTATTTGCTAATTTCCCAGCAGTTTAAGTGATTTGATACTTTCGGACACTTGTGAGTTTACTAACACTCTGAAATCTCGAGAAAAAGTAAATATAATTTATTGCATTTAGCTCTATCCTTAGGAAAATTTAAAGAAAAAAATTGAAGCTGTTGCTGAAAAAAAATTACGAATTTTTGGAAAACAATCACGATTTGGCTAAAAATTAAGAGAAAACTACTCACATTGTGCAGCAATTTTACATCAAATTAAAGATCTCAATTTCAAGAGTAGATTTCATCAATAAAAAACATTTATCTCAAATTATGAAGTTTAAGACGAAAAATATTTCACTTTTATAATTTTGAAAATCTAAAGTTTTAATGAAAATCGGACCAATGCAATTTTGAAGCAAACTATGTGGTATTTCATTAAATTAAATTTGAATTTGCTTCAATTTAGTGGAACATTTATTCTCAGTAAGTTTTCCAAACGATACAGAACATTTATGAACATTGAATTGAATCAAGAAATAGCCCCCGACATAGATACTCGCCATATGGATCGCGGTTTGACCTTTCTAGTTTTTCAATGGTAATTAATCTATGGGGAGTTTAGTGCGTTAGGGGCAATGACGTTACCTGAAACGTTTGGAGTATGAAAGACCTTAATAAACCACTTTTTTCTCTCAGTAAAGTATGAATAAAAGTATATTTGAATTATAACGGCAAAGTCCGCTGACAGCGCAAATTCCCCTCAAGGGCACGTCTTTTCGATTTTCATTTGTTCCCCAAACGCTGCCTAACAAAATACGGTAAAATTAGCTCGTACTGTAGAATTAGTATCATATTCTACTGTCACCAGTTGGGAACAAATTTTTTAAGGTTTGTTTTCAGTGACTAGCATCGTGTACGACAAGAATCACGTAATTACATTTCGTAATTGGGATGAACTCCACACTTCTGAAACTCCTACGTGCCCACACGATTACCGAACAACAGTCATCTTCGACTCTGGGAATTCAATTTTGCGGCTCGGCTATGTATTCTCTTTGTTCATAATTCGTGTTTACCATGTAACCCCAAAATAGAGAATTTACTCTTGTCTGAACAGGTGTCCTTCCTGTAAACACTCGAAATTTTCATGATTTGCAGGAAAATATAATAATTTCAATCGGTTCTCTTTGTTCAAGCAAAACTTGTTTGTGCAATGCGTCCATGACAGGCACTCCGAAATGACAATTTGCGCACGAGCACAGAGAAATAATTTTCCCTCTTATCAACATTGTAGAATATTATTACTTTTTCCCTATGAAGTAGAGACAAAGTTATGTAATGCGTCGAGAAAAAGCGCCAAATTTTGGCAGAAACAACTCTTGTTTCAGGTTCCCTTGTAACGAAAAAGTGGATATATCCAGTTGTTAAATTAGAACAAAAATCCTCTATCGCATGGTGTAGCCAGGAGCAATGTTTTTTGAATTTTGTTGATCCTAGATACCGAAAAATCAAATGACGGCAGAACGTCTCTTTGTCCGTCTGTGGACAGTGCTAGCGGTGAAACCGTTAAGCGATTGTCTCCAATATTGATATTCCCCAATCTATCTGGCTGCTGCCGCGGCGTCTTGAATTTAAAAAGTATTTCAGTTTTCGGAGGTACTTCACATGAAGCCCCAGAGACATTTTCCAAGAGTCTTCCTACATCTAAAATTTTAAAAACAGCGATTTTTTAGTAAATGAAATGTGTTCCTTCAAAATAGATTTAGAAATAAGGTCTCATATAATTTTTCTAAACTTAAAGTACTTTTCGTGTAGTTTTGCCAGAAAATTCGGGGGAGAAAGGACAGGCTGTTTTAGCATCACTTGTTTTTGTTATCTCCCACTACACAGTTTCCACAGCCTAAAACAGAGGATACCGAAGTGTTGTTACTTTTTGCACTGACTGATTATAACAGTCACTTCACGATGCTAAAAAATGAAAGACAACAATCGCCAAATGTTTCTTCCACAAAATACGGAATACAATACTCGACGAGTCTTCAGGGCGTTTCACTCTCTCACTCGTACTCCGCTCGAGTGTTTAATCTTCGAGCGCCGTAAGTTCGAGCGTTCTGCGCTGGCAGTGGGCTAATTCACAGATCAGACGGCTTCGCTTCGCCGACTACTGAATGGGTGAGATGCCGTGTGCGACAGCACGTACTACGTAACAACAATCATGAGTCACTGTTCAGGCAAATATTCAATTTACTGCAGCTAATAATACATTCATCTTCACTATACCTAATAATTCATTTACTACATATAAGAGAAATTGATGTGTATGTATATATTGAAAATTTTGTATAGAAAAGTCAATAATTATTTTCCAATCAATACTGCCAACTTCTTTTCAACGAATTCTTATCAGCTGCATTTTAGTTTCTTTCATTTCCTGAATTTGCAGCAAGAACACAAAATATCCTCGAAGATTCTGCCAGCCTAAGGGAAACTACAAATTTTATTTCAATTTTTCACATAATTTGCACTCGTTAAGACGTATGAATGTCTCAGCATATTTAATTTTGCATTGTGGTTTTAAAACTGAGCCTCAAACATTGGAGTCAGAAGTACCAAGCGAGCGTGAAACGCA